GACCTCTCTCAGATTTGTTTATATCACATATATAGGTACTACATGTGTTACCTCTCTCAGATTTGTTCGTTTTGTAATGATATCTTTAATTCTCTAATTTTGGTGAATATTTTTGTAATTTTTGGTAAAAAGTGATATTTTCGACTTCTTGTTGAAAACCGCAAGTCCAATTGCTTTGATATTACATATATAGGTACTACATGTGGACCTCTCTCAGATTTGTTTATTTTGTAATGATATCTTTAATTCTCTAATTTTGGTGAATATTTTTGTCATTTTTGGTAAAAAGTGATATTTTCGACTTCTTGTTGAAAACCGCAAGTCCAATTGCTTTGATATTACATATATAGGTACTACATGTGGACCTCTCTCAGATTTGTTTATTTTGTAATGATATCTTTAATTCTCTAATTTTGGTGAATATTTTTGTAATTTTTGGTGAAAAGTGATATTTTCGACTTCTTGTTGAAAACCGCAAGTCCAATTGCTTTGATATATTATACATATAGGTACTACATGTGGACCTCTCTCAGATTTGTTCATTTTCTAATGATATCTTCTGTTCTTTAATTGCCATGTGCATTGCTAACAGCGGAGCTATCTCAGCCGACAGGCTGCTTGTTATTCATTGTCTAAATTCAGTAAAATCTACAATCGTACTGTGTATATTGTAGACCAAACATGTATCAAAAAATTTCTATGATATGATTTTATTTACATGTAGCTGCACAATTTTTGATCTTTCTGTAAATCAGATATTGTGTTGCACCAACAATTTAATCTCGCCAGATTTCTTAGGATAATTGAATATCACAGCATCAATAAAATGATATAGTAATATTTTATGTGTTTGATATCACACAAATTAATGGTATCTTGGCGTCAGTATGCCGTTCTTATCATGTTACTTTGGGAATATTGGATGATGCGGCTTTAGATATCTGATAGAATAGCATTAGAGCAATGCTGCCATAGAAGACAATTACCAAACAGTATTTCATTTTAACCTATTTCTAAAACCCAGGGTTCAATAAAATAACTCATGACAACAAGAAGTACCTTGTTAGTCACAATATTCAATTTTTTTCATCTTCTGGAAATTTGAAATGTGAGTGAATCTTTCAATATGTTGGTTTTTTTGGTCACTAATCTATCAATATTTAATTATTCATCTCAACACTGGATGTCAAATATTATTTTCAACACGTTTCTACTTATTCTCTTAGATATGTTTGTTTGTTTTTGGTTTTATAAACCCTGTACATATAGTCGTATCTGTATTCACTTGGAAATATTCCAACTGCCTTGTTGACTACTTGTTTATATATCTCTAGTAAACCTTGACAACGGTACCCTATTTATTAAAGGTCATCAGTTCCACCAAATCTTTTTGTAGTTTATATGTGTTTAGTGGCAATTTTATGTTCCAGATATAAATTTAACATATAAATAAATAAATATAAATTTGATATAAATATGAGTTGTTTCGTTTGTTGTTTCTAATTTCCATAACTGACAACTATGTTTATTTTGGTAGAGGACTTAGTTTCAGGGTTACTTTAATAGTGTCAAAAAAGCCGAGACATTTATTGAATCAAACCTAAAGCACAGCACACATGGTTACAATCCAACCCATAGAACCTTATACCCTGGTAATTTTCCCACTAAAATGTTGAGGTAATGTTTAATGGAAAATATGGAAAAATAAAATAGGTTTATTTTGTGAAATGTGACAAAGTCGATTTAGTTGTTGAAAGGATATTGCATATTTAAAGAAATAATTGAAAATATTTTCTTTCAGTGACTATGAGAAGACTGTCTGATTATGAGCGACCACTACTTCTTCACTTATTGTGGGGTCCCAACAATACAAATAGAAAGTTTGTACTTCAAGAAAACGAAACAGGTGACATAATGGTAAGTGCAGTAATAGTACTCTCCATCCATATCAGTTTCAATAGCCACTTCCCAGGATCCTTAGCATGGCTGGGAATGCTCACTTACAGAATTCACCTTTGCACTGAGTTCCACACACTTTATTTGAGCATTATTCTGACCAATAGCATCACAGCAACTCAGCTCAAAAATCTGAGAAGCAACATATCTATTGCTAGTGAACATTCAGTCAAATAATGTACTGTAAAATACTTAATATGTGCATTTTTGTTTAATTGCACTGCCGGAAAGTGTTGGTCATCATTTTATAATGTTGGACTATTCTAACATTCAATTGTGTAAAGTTGAATAAAGTTTTCAAAGAAATTAACCTATGATAAATAAACTTGTACTCCTGAGTTGAGGAAAGGGTTTATTTTGCAGTAATTATTCACTGATTTTTAATTTCGCTAATAAGTAAAGTTTGCTGTATTAAATCAATACGAACATGTCAAATAACAATATAATTCATTGTTTCCCTGCCAATTTCATGAATTAAAACCCAATAGTGAAATTAAATGCCAGTGAAAAGAAATGGTTGTACAGTATAAGGTTGGAGAAAAAATTATGTTAGATTTTACTTTGTGTGGCAAAGCTTTTTTTTGAGTTAGCATAGCTCAAAGCAGGACAATGAATGTCTGTGTTTGATATTTAATATGGTTTTGTTAATGGTTTCCTTCCGGTAAATTCTTGCAGTGGGAAGCTTTCAGTATTCCGGAATTGCAGAATTTCCTAAAGATACTAGACAGAGAGGAGAAGGAACATTTGATACAAGTACGTAAGAAGTACAAGGTGTACCAAGAAAAGATGAAAGATGTAATGAAACAAAATGAGGCTTCTTTGAAAATTTAAACAGCTCAACCACTATCCAGATGCAGAAATCATTTTGGATATGTGACTAATCTGAAAGTACATTGCTAAGCAACCAAATATAATTATAAATTTATGTAATCTTCAGTTTTATGTACTTTATTTAGAAATGTGGTGGTGGCAATTTCACTCGTGCTGTAGTATAATGTAATGTGCAATAGCGCCCTCAGTTGTTTGAATGGGCAAATACTTTTGTTGCAATCCGTATTGGAATGCATGTTTTGTTTATGTTGTTGCTTGCCAATTACTACCACTATAAATGTGTATAAGTGCACCAGCCTGGCTTACTAGGCACAGGTAGATGGTAGAATACTAGAATCATGGGGAAGTCCTTCAATGTTTTGACTGAGTGTGGGGAAATGGCTAATTTCTGGGGTGTTTGGACTTCATGATGCTGGCTGCTAGAGGGCGCACACACAAATTTCATATTTGGCCGATTATAACAATAACTAAATAATGCAAGTAATTGACAACGACTGATAAACAATGAAACTTGATTTCTCAGTTTTTCTAATAACTTTGGTACTAATACCTGAATTTAAACTCTGCATAAAGAGGTGCATTTGGTTATGATGTGATTATTTTGTCCAAGTATTTCAACCTGAATATAATCTATGAGCTGTTGTTGGTTAAAAAAATCAATGTATGATTCACTGTACATGTGGTTACGTAAAATCTGTATCTGTATTATGTTAGTATAATCAAAAGATCAGCACTTCTATCAGAAATAAGGTGGTTGTGTTAATCAATTAACTCCAAGCATTGGAGTGTATTTCATTGTAATCCCTGTTTTAAACTTGGCCTTTTAACTGTGCAAGCTCTATCACTTCAGTTAAGTTTATTTGTGATTGGGCGTATCAATCAAATTCATGATAGAAATAAACAATACAATGAGCTGCTTGGTGGAAATAGATCCAGACTTTAGATTCATATTCAAGATTTGGTTTATAATACAGCTATTTTTCTATAGATGGTTGAATGTCAGTGAATTTATCTTAGGTTCCAAGACTTGCACTTTTTCTTGTATATATTTCATTATCAGCTTTTACTTTCACCAGTTGGATATTTTTCCATTGGTTTGAATACACATAGCAGTCTTGTACAGGTATCCCTCTACAATTAGACTGTAATGTAAGAACGTTAAATGCAAGGCAATATTATTTTACCAAAAGTGGTTTCTTCAGTTATTAAAGTCCCACAGTGATCAGTATCTTTAGTTAACCCAGCTGATAACTCATTCATTAAAGTTGTATTCACACTTTGCAAATAAGTGAAACATAAGCTCTCAGAACAAGCTAAAGATATAAATGATATTGTACCATGACCTTTCCATACATTCATTTTGAGAGTACTGGAGGTTCTTATTCTCTTGCACAGACAGTCAAACTGGCCTTCAAGGTTAAACAAAGCCCCCTAACTCTCTCTGTTAGTTACCCATCCACAATCTCAGTGTGTATATGTCATGGGATGGTATGTACGGTACTCACAGATTTGTAAAATATCAATTGAACTTTAAAGCGCGGTAGTCGTCGTGCTGCGCATGTGCGACATTTGTGTTGATAAACATTGATTTTCCCACAATCCAATGCGCCCTTCAAATGGAAATCACAAGTATGAGGTTTGATCTGGGCGCGACTTGCACTGATTACCGCCGACTACTTCTTTCGATACCTTTCCAAAAACATGAAAATTGCTTAATTAAAGCTTCGAAACGTCTCATTTCGTACTCGTTGATCTGCGCAACAGTCAAAGTCGCCATC